TGATGTGCTGGGTCTGCTGCAGGTGGGATTATGTATATATGTGTTGAAATCTTAGCATGAAAAACTATCTGCCAACTATTTGCATTACAAGTTTTGCTTTGACCATTCTTTTACTCTTTTTGTTTTTCCTTAAAGAATTTATCAAAACAAAGCTGCAGTTTACCTTCCAATTTCCAATTTAGACACAAAGAATGAAAGTTTTGCTAAAGGTTTTCTCAAAGTTTAAACATGCACAGTATCGTGTGCCATAGAGTAGGTTTTCTGTGGTCAGAAATGACAGAAAAGAATAGGTGAATAAATCCAGCAGCACTGAATAATCAGAAGGGTTACCAAAAAGAACCTCAGCTTCTAATGCTGGGGGGGATCTAATTTTATCCTCCACAAATTGTAAATGGTGCTAAATGTGAAATAAATTTATTTGTAGATTTTAATTAAAATGTTTTTAAAATAAAACTTACATGGTCTTGAATCAGTGTGAAAGATTCATCCTCCAGCTGAACCTGTCTGTACCAAAATCTGTTATGTTTTCCTTTACCAATGGTTGGCTTCCACAGAAAGATGTCCACAATCTGCATCCAATTTAAGCCCTCATCAAGAATGATTTGATCTTCCAAGCTGAATTCATCTTATGTGTTGATTATGCTGCTTCCCTGTCTTGACTCTCTCATGATCTTGCCATTGCAACCTCTACTTAACTAATGTGCATGATGTTTTCTCTTCTTTTTTTGTTTTATGATAGAGTAGAGCCAACTGAGTTTGCTTGTTAAGAGGAAATAAACAAGTACAATAATCTAAATAAAACCACAGACATTGTTTCTCCTTTGTTTCATTCTATTCTGTTCTCACAGATGCAGCACATTCAGTTAATTACAGTCACTTGTTCCTCTCTCCAGCATTGATGTTCCAGTTCAGTTGAGGACACATCAGTTTTGCCTGATATGTGTCTGATTATCTGTAAATTCCCAGAGCCAGGTGTGTAATCCCTGGTCTGTTAGTTTGGACTCCAAATCATGAAGACACTGCGTTATTTTGTGTTTCCTCAACTTAAAGCAGAGGTGCAATTATTCAAGTGCCAGAGTCCTGCATCTTTCCTTGGTTGAACACACCTGAAATAAGTTAATTAGTTATTCTCAAGCCTTTATGTGCAAATCTTTGAACAAGTAACAACTAGAGTTTGAGACTCAGACTTGAGTTGCACATGGGTTACAACGTGAAAAGACTTCAGGTTCGAATTAGACTTGTGGTCTAAAGACTTTAGCATTAAACTTGGATTCCTCGTCTGAGACTCGAATGTTAGTGACATGTATAAAGAACGTTGCTATATCAGCAACAGATTTCAGCTCCTTCTGACAATGCTTATTTGTGCAAACTTTAATATTAAAGGATGTGCCTGGTTGTCAACTTGTGTTATTAATGGATTATAGTATGGTGATGGCTCATATATAATATGTTCATGTCAAATATGACAGGTTATAGTAGCTGAATTTGCTGACTGTACTATCGTCATACGAACAGCAAATATACAGCGAATAAAAAATCCATGATACAATTTTACATTAATCACTTCAGCTATGTGGCCTGAAGTTGACTTTAAGAGATACAATTTCTCTGCAACTTGCTAAGGGGCATTTACTCATTTATTAGTGGGGTGGATTTATATACAGTATTATATGTACTTTTCTCTACTTCATCTCTAAATTAAAACCTGTAAAGCACTTTCTTTTTAATTGTATTATGTATAATCCTATTCCACAAAATAAGCTCTCTAAATTATAAATTGTTGAATTATTTTCTGCTTACTAATTTGTATTTCTGTGTTTTAAAACAAGTTTGTGGATTTAGTATTGTAGAAATTGTTATTTCTATTTATTCTGTATCTGTAAAGCACAAACAAAAACAAACCAAATCTGTAGATTGTTCAGATTCTTCCTAAGAGCCATTTCTGGTGCATAATAGAGTAATTGCATTAGCAGTAATTTTTGCTGTTCAAGAGAAGAACTGTAGGGAGTGCAGCACATCTTTGTGATCGGAAAGTCACAACTGAGTCATCACTGAAGTCACAACATGAAGTCGTGACTCATTCTCCAGGAAAAAAATAAATAAATAAAATTTGGCCTTTTGCTTTAATAGGATCTGCAGTGCCAATCCCTAAGTTCATGAAGAGCTAGATCTTTCCAGGAAAAAATGGCCATATATAAGCAGTTCAAAAAACACAACGGAAGATATACACTTTAGGCATACAAACAGGTACACAGTATAAGGCTATCATAATTTTTGCATTATGAAACCACGGTATTTTTGGCACAAGAGTACAAGATGTGTTTGAATTATTTTAAGAATGCATGAGACTTTTCTCTCAGAGTTGTGAAATGGAGTGTAACATGTTTTCCTTTCATCCATTACCGTTAAGCATCTCTGTTAAGAAGTTGTCCTTCATGTGCATTATCTTTATGTGATTTCCTTGCTGACCTGCTGATTTAATCTTTCTGAGAGCCTTCATTGTGTCATGGTGTGTTGCAGAAAAGTGAAAACGGAGAGAAAGATCTTGCCTTAGTCTCCTTCGGTGAAATAAACCCTTTAATGACATTTTCATCAGCGAGGTATGTCTGACTCCAGCAGTGTTGTTGAACACACAAAGACAGTCAACATCAAGCTTATCAGCACCTCCTGAGTCTTTAATTAGTTGAATTGTCAAATAGCAACAGAATAAAGTCCTACACATTTCAGCTCCATAAAATAGAAACTTTTTACCTCCTTGAAAATACTTATTTTGTGCAGACAAACATGGAAGATGTCTATAAAATTAATTTCTAGTTTCTATAAAATTAATTATTAGTGAGCTGTTTCTTTTTCATGTTATTTACACACCCAGAAGGAATATTGAGGGGAAAAAAAAGAACTTGTGGAGTGAGAGAGAAATTCCAATCTCTCAGACATTTTTTCATATTTGTTAAGGTTTTCCAGCAGAAAAACAAGCAGGGATAAAACTTAAGATAGATTGAAATAGTTCTGTAGATGTAAAATGAAAAAGTAAGTTAAAAGATTAAAGTTGACAATGTTTTCTTTTCTTTTTTATATATAAAAAACATGATTTAAAAAAAGAACATAGATGTTCATTAGACAATATTACAACATATTTACATTTTTTCTAAATAATTCCTATTAGGATACATTTATTGTCAATTGTCTTAGATTAAAATTAATTCTTTTGAAAAAAAATAATTCTGTGGATGTTGATAAAACAATGACTATCAAGGCTTATCTTACTTTGTGATAAAGCAACATAAAATCATTTATCACTGTAATAGTGATAAACGATTACAGATATTGGCTTTTCATATTAAATTGACGAGCTAGCAGTACGTTTTAAATCATTTCCCGTTATGTCTGAGGGTACAATAATGCATCTAATTTCTCTAATAATAAAAATCTGTGTTAATTTTGATTAATATTTTAGAGACAAATACAGGTTATGATAGAACTAGCAGAAGGTGATGAAAACAAAACAAGTGGAGCCCAAAAATAAATAAAAAATAAACATCCCTGCTCTCTATCAGTTAGGTAGTAAATGTACTATGAACTGTAAGAAACTGGTTTCCTCTACAAATTTTACTAAGGAGGAAGATTAATAGAGTTTTTGATGGATTTTTACCTGAACTTCTGCTGTTCTTTTTAACAGGATTTGAGGGGATTGTTCTGCTCACCAAATGAAAATAAAGGAAGGATTTAGTTCCTAAGATGACTTTGGAACGCCAGCCAAGAATCTGGGGAGATGTACCAATTTGTATCTTTCCAGGAAGAAAACTCTCAGACTTTGTTGGTTGAACACCACTCACCTCCAGGTCATCATCACATGAAAACCTTAAGCTCAAAGAATTATCTCTAATGAAGCAAAGGCTTTGAAGACTAGGTGGATGAAAACTCTTTGAAGTAGTGATAAAAATGAAGACTTTTCACCTGAACGTGTTTCCATTTACAGTAAATTCCTGTCAGCCTCAAGTTGCAAGGATGACCCCTTTAAATCCTTCACATGTTCTCTGGCTTGACCGGATCTCCATCTCGTGATGTGTCTATTGCATTTGCAAACTGTCTGCAATCAAGATCTTTAGTTTATTACATTTCATTGAGGTAGGCGAGCATGAGGTTATAATTTTAGAATGTTGACTTCCAACACAGCATGAGAGAAAAATGAAGAGATGTACACACACTGACTGACATTCAACCGTAACCTCAAAATAAAATGGAAACTGCAGTTGTTGCCATTAAATGACCCAACAGACAAGACATAATAGTCATTATTTGCCATTGGGATTTTTCCATCCTGTTTATATACAAATAATTATAATATATATATATATATATATATATATATATATATATATATATATATATATATATATATATATATATATATATATATATATATATGAACTCGTTTTAAAATAACATCATCTGTTTGCATGTTGTCAGGTAGTTTAATTAAGTTTGCTGCCTTTGTTTAAAGACGTTTGTTGACCAAGTGTATCCTGAACTTTAAAATGACAAATACGATCACTTTACACTTTAAATTTCAATATATATTTTATCAGGATTCTATAAAATAGGTTGACAAAATAAAGAACATGATACAAGGTTTTCAAATGTGTTTTTTTCCACATAAAATTGTGAAGATTTTTGCATTTGTTTCAAGCTTTTTGTACTTTGATATCTTAACATAAAATTCAGAAATCTTCTCTAATGAATCCCTAATCATTGCTAAATTATGCCACCATGGTAACCACTGGAAAATAATTTCACTATTTATTCATCATTTCTCAAAATATGTATGAAAATAGGTTGGCTAAATGTTTGAAATAAAAAACAGGCAAATGGTGCCTGTTGTTTATGACATGTCGCTTTCTTATGACTGTGAATGGCCTGTTAAACCACCTGTCCCAGAAACTTTGACTAGGAAGCATGTAAGGAAATGACAAGAAAAAAAAAAACACACCACAACTGTGTTTAAAAAAGAACAAGTTTGTATTATGAGTACAAGAAAACATTTTGCTTTAGTGTTACGTTTCCTTGAATAAAACACACTGAAAATCCTCCAGTACATTCTTTATCTTAACCTCCAAGGTGAGCACAGATCCAGGGGAGTACATGGTGCATCTAGAAGGAGCAAAGCATTGTTGGAGGATGAAAAAAACAAATCTCATTCATACACATGAATCACATTATAGGAGGTGTATACACACACACCTGAAATCCACTTGGAAGCATCTCAAGAGATAAACAAACCAGCAAAAAAAAAAAAAAAAAAAAAATTTGAAATGGAATCACATAAGAACAAGCACACAGTGCTCTAACATCATTCAGAAATCTGTTGAATCATTCATAAGCAGCTTCCATAGGTCATGGTCCTCTTAACTTTTTGCAGTGAAACTTAAAACATTCAGATGAGCTTGGGGAGTGATAAACTCAGGAGTGCTAGGAGTCTTCATAATAATGCACTTGGACAGTTTAGATCAAGGATTTAATTCAGCCTTGGAATCCCTGTTTTCCTTTTATCTTGGTGAGGATTTAACAGAGCTTGGAAGCTTTGACCTCAGAGAAAAACTGTTTTGCTCCCGGAAAGGAAAACACATGTGATGTCTAAGTAATGTTCAGCAAAGACAAAAAAAAAATGTTTTGGGCTTATCTCTTCTTGCTTCTGAAGCTAATTTCTCCCAACCTACACAGTTAAATACCAAAGAACAACCTTTAAAAATCTAAAGTAACGTTTTTCTGTCACTAGAAAACAACAGGGAGCATCATAAAATAATCAGAAACAAGTCCAATGCATGTATATGAAAATCACTTTGGCAATGTCGTTCACCTCTACAACTCTCCAGCACAGTAAATATCAACATCAGTTGAGAATTTCTCCCACACACTGCACCACAGCTGCTGGTTCTGCACATCACAAGATGAACACAGTGTGATTGGGCCAGCTCAGGCTCTGCTGTCCTGCAGACGAGAACACGAACACATTACCCAGCATTAGAGAAACGTTTAGCTGGTTTCAAGCACCCTGCACACAAAGAGACCTCAGAGAAACTTAGGTTAAGTTTTGACTGAGCTGTAAATTCAGTGGCAGTGCCTCGCTCATTCTCTGGATCCCTGCAGTCCTTCCTGTGGTCCGAGTTGCAGTCCCACTCTGGGTGTGTGAAGGCTGCTGCGTTCCTTTCAGGACTGCGTTGACACTGTGAGAGCCAAGGCCGTTGGAGTTGTGACTGTGGGGTTGCTGTTTGTCACAAGCAGGACTCGCGGGAGCCGATGTTTGTGTGCAGAGACTTCTTATTCTGCTCTTTGTGATTCCCGTTGTGAAGAACAGAATACCTGAGTGCAGAAAAGGGAAGTGATGGGACAAAGAATAATCACAAAAATGAGGTTGAAGAATGTGTAACTCACAACTTTTCAAGGCAAAAAAAGTGAAATCCAAAAATAGATACCTATCATAACTTCCATAATATTTTATGGCAGATGTCTTCTATATTTGGTATATTAAGAAATCCTTTAAATTATTTAAAACAGCAGAGTACAGTGCTTCTCTGTACTCTCATGAATAAAGTATAGTAGACACGCCATACACTCCCTTGTGCTTTTTATTTTATGCCTGTCAAAGTGTGTTACTGTAGCTTTGGCATATGGCTGAAAATACAATCTAAAATTCATTCTTTGCTAAGTTATGTTATGTCTAGACATGACTTCAGATCATCCTTTCGATTTGATTTCTACATGTCCTCTGTAAGCTCACTGATCCCCGCTCGGACAGACGTGGCATCTGAAAATTGGGACAGATTCCGATAACAACCTGTACATGTCATTTGAATCTCGAAAGATTAAAAAAGTTCCCTTATTTCACTAACTGAACTGAATCACTTAGCCATATTCAGGGCATGAGCTGGTATCGTCACATTTTTGTGTTTTTTTAGGATAAAAATAATTAAATATTTACGATACTTGAACATGGATAAACTTCGTATTTTGTTTTATTTTATTGAAACTTTCCCATGTTGTCATATAATTAAGTTCCAGTATCAACAGGGTGTAAATGATGCTTGAATGTGATGAAATATTGCTCTCACATAGCTTTGAAATGTCTGCTAAAAAAAAAGTGGGAAAAAGACTATAATAGTATTTTATTAATTTTATTGTTTGTGCTGATGATTGTCAAGTCTACATTCCTTGAAAAATATATTATCACTTTGTTAGAATAAGGCAGCTTCTATGATAAAACGACAGTTCATATCCTTTATCCCACATAGACTTTGTCACACCCGGAATGTTCATTTTTACTCCTTGACTCCACATTTGAAGTCCACTGTCACTCAAATCTGTAGAAAAAAAGCTTTCCCAGCTGCAACAAATTGGCCAAATCAAAATCAGTGATTTTGAAAATATCATTATTGCCTGCCTTGATTATTGTAATGCACTATATTTCTGGGTCAGACTGGCTGCCCTCTCTCAAATTCAGCTTGTCTAATATGCAGCTGCCCATCACTCCGGAACTGCCTGCTCTTCATTGGCTCCCTTTGTGCTACCAAACTGATTTCAAAATAATCTTTTTATGCAAGGACCTTGGAGTCCTTCAGAGACTCCAAGGTGAGCGGACCAGCTGCTCTTGGTCTCTCCGATGTTCGAAGGTCATCAGGTTTTGGCAGCTGCAGCCTTGAAGTTATGGAACAAGGGAGGCTCCATCATTTTTGTCTTGTATTTTTTGTTTAAAACTCATCTTCTTTTTACATGAAATTTGACACAGCATGATACATTGTTTTTTTTTTTTCTGTGAGTTGTTGTATTGTCTAACATTGCTTTTGTCTGTTTTCACTTAAGTTTATATTTTTTATTTATTCTCCTAAAATACATAACTTTGGTTAACCATTTGTTATGGTGTTTGTTGTTTTGAATGTGGCTAATAAGTAAATTTGATCAGGTTCAGAAATCAAGACTCCCAAATCTGGAGTCAGTCACGATGTAAGAAGCAAAGTTATCTGCTAACCTTAAAACATTACATGAAGCTTGTAAAAAAGTCAGATTCAAATGTAAGTATCTGCCATGTGCCAAACTCATCACTTAGGGAAAGAAATTTAATCTGTCAAAACAATCTTTTAGCAGAAAACAAGCACACAGTAGAATTTTTAGAACAAAACATGTCAAAACAGCTTTAAGTGAAATATGACAAAAGAAAATTGGTATCTGTAACAGGCCTTATAGATCTGCTAGCCTCAAAACATTTGTATTAGAAATGTGCTTCACTGCACACAGTCATGCTTGCATGTTATTCTATACATACAACATGAATGCTGGAAATGGCAACCTAGCTTTCTTTCTGTGTGAGTGTGTGTGTGGATGTGCGCAGGTGCGTGTGCGTGCGCATGTGTCAGAAAGAGCTCACCTCAGGCTAAAGCCATTACGAGTTGTTTACACAAACACACCAACCAAAGACACTTCCTGCAGCCAAACTGGCCATGAAATACACCTTACAGACAGCCACCAACATTTAGGGCTTTGCTGAAAGAAACAGGCTTCAGATTCTCTCCGAAGCAGAACACAAAATTGCTCCCACATTGCAGCGTTAAACCTTTAAACGGTTTCACTGTTGTGCTCTGAAAGTGAGCACACTCATGCTTAAAAAAAAAACAAAGTCACAATCATTGTAACTGCCAGTAAATTTCTGAAAAGCTTCAGCTGAGCTTTTGACCAGCTGCTTGTCACATAGCTGTATTCACAGCAATATGTAATATGTTATGTAACTCCTGAAATATAAGGGATTTGTTTTTTGTTAAGTGAATAACAATTGCTTTGGCAGTGTGCTAATCTGAAGAGCAATGTATTTAGAAACATTGCAACAAGCTGAAGTGATTCTATAAATGAAATGATGCAGTGATCTGTTCTGTTAGCATCAGCTGAATGGGGAAAAAAAAAACACATTACTGACTCAGTAAGTCCTGCAGAATCAAATTTAATCCTGTAGTTACCATTATATAGCCATGTGACCTTAAGTGGTTTGAAATAAACTCAAGCAATTGTGTGGGAAAATAGTGGCAGTTGGTAGGTGTTGATGTATTTCCATTGGATATTTAACTTTAAAAAAATTGGTAACATGAAATGTGGCAAATATTTGCACTCTTTCATAAGGTTTTTGACAGATGGATACTGATAAAATAGTTCAGGTCAACAGGTTTAACAACACAAAAAAGAAATGTGTGGATTGTGAAGTGGATGGAAAAAAATCTCAACAAGAAAATTCCCCTTTACTAACTGGGCTAACAGTGTCATGTTCTGGTTGTTACTTTGTATTCACATTCTGATTCTTCCTGGGTCACTTACTATTGTTATTTATATATTGTCAAAGTAGTTATGCCTTTGCATTGAGTTTCTTATTTTATGCATTTAACTCTGTTAGTGTCACAGTCTTTCCCTTTGGTTCATCAATCTGTGGTATAATTTAGCTCCCTGCATGCTCTCTATGTATTTATCAGTCTATTTTTCTCTATTTCCCTGCTCAGCCCTCTCCCTCAGCAGTTTTGGATCTCTGATCCCTCACAGAGCACCCAGCCCCCACACCTTTCCCACTCAGTTCCACTAGCCTGGTGGCAGCAGCAATTAATAGTAAACACCTGGTAAAACTGTGAGTCTGATGAGGGATCTACTTCTCAGTCTAACACGGATCCGCTTGAACTCAATCCGCCTTTAGCACGGATGTTAATGTGCTAAAGGCGGATTGTTGGAAACAGCAGGAGCTTCTTCAAGAAACAGAGGACAATTTCAATTGCTAAATCAAATATCTTTTAAATTTTGTTTGATTTGTACAGAGTTTTATAATGATTGAAAGTGACAGAACTACTTTATTCTGCTATAAAATCAAGTAGTTATGTGCCCGGAAAATACATAGTGCTGCTTCTTCACAAGGAAATTTGTCGTTGCATAATAGCCATATGACACCATGAAATTGATCTTCAAGACACTCATCACAACAATCATCCTTAGAAGCATTGCAGCCTGAATATCAAGCTCAGTAGCTACGTAACTCCACCAGATGTTTGCAGATAGCTGCTGTCACTAGTCTGGAGGGGCAGTGTGGTGAATATGTGGGAAATGGCTGCTCTGTGAGGCAGAAGCTCAGCTGGAGACCAAAGCTGTTAAATAGACATTGCATTGTCTCAGCAGACGTTAAGGCACCCCAAATAGTGCCATGGGAGTTTCAAGGATTTCTCATACTTTCATGAATGCAACACTCTGAGTGTGTGTTTGATGGGGGAATGACTCTGTAAAGCTCAAAAAAGTAAATTTGACATAATACCCCTTTTTCAAATTCCTCAATTCACCATGCTGCTTCCAAGCTCTTGTCAGCACTTTGACCCTGCTTCTACACCCAACATAACAAACAAATTGTTTTCAAAATGTATGAGGGAAGTCCATGACTTGACAGAGCATGGCTGTTTTGGTAGGAAAAGGGGGACCGACACACTATCATTCAGGACCTGGACCTCCAGGACATAGATTTGCCAAAAAAACAAAACTTAAACTTCAAACTTCAGCAACAAAACAGTGAAAGCATAAGTGCTATCATATGTGTACATGAGCAATGCTGGGCACAAAATTAGGTTAGGGCACTATGTACAAAGACTATGTGTTGTCTTTTGGACCATAAATTTAATTTAATACTTGGATAAAATGAAACTCCAAAGCAGAACATGTGGCTTGAGCCGTACAGAGTTTATCCGTGGTTTTATTTGTACACAGCTGAGCCAACAGGCCAACTGGCGGAGCAATAGACAGGATGGAGATTTGTTTAATGAGGCCAGAGGAGAGACACAGTGAGACAGAAGGCCCGGATCACAAGCAGACTAAACAGTTCTACATATTTCAGGCAGCAATGTGGCAAACATTCATCTTGATGAAGTCTCGCTGATGAAGACTTTGAACGGTCTGCACAGCAGACTCTGACATCTGATGCTACATGTGGAGGAGGTGGGAAGTAGAGATCTTTCTGTCTATTGCAGCAACGTTACCTCCAGATGAATGTGTTGTAATTTTAAAGAAAATTAATAAAAGGGGATATTAATCTAAACCATATAATTACATATTCTGGGCTCCTAATGACAGATTCCATCTACTGAGCAAAAAGTTAGTTCTAGAAGCTGTGTGATGCTCTTCATTGAAGCAAATAACTTGGGTTTTACATTATTCATTTACTACATTATTAATTCTGTAAACTATTGAGATGCAGTCTGGTATTTATTTAAATGCAAACAAAGCACACTATGAAAAAGTCTATTAATTTCTGGTCTTGTATACACTGAGGGAACAAGACTTTCTTGAAAATGTTTAGA